CAGGCGCCGTCAAGCATGAAGGGCATGCATGCAGGCGCCGTCAAGCATGAAGGGCATGCATGCAGGCACCGTCAAGCATGAAGGGCATGCATGCAGGCACCGTCAAGCATGAAGGGCATGCATGCAGGCACCGTCAAGCATGAAGGGCATGCATGCAGGCACCGTCAAGCATGAAGGGCATGCATGCAGGCACCGTCAAGCATGAAGGGCATGCAGGCAGGCACCGTCAAGCATGAAGGGCATGCATGCAGGCACCGTCAAGCATGAAGGGCATGCATGCAGGCACCGTCAAGCATGAAGGGCATGCATGCAGGCACCGTCAAGCATGAAGGGCATGCAGGCAGGCACCGTCAAGCATGAAGGGCATGCATGCAAGCACCGTCAAGCATGAAGGGCATGCATGCAGGCACCGTCAAGCATGAAGGGCATGCAGGCAGGCACCGTCAAGCATGAAGGGCATGCATGCAGGCACGGTCAAGCATGAAGGGCATGCATGCAGGCACCGTCAAGCATGAAGGGCATGCATGCAGGCACCGTCAAGCATGAAGGGCATGCATGCAGGCACCGTCAAGCATGAAGGGCATGCATGCAGGCACCGTCAAGCATGAAGGGCATGCATGCAGGCACCGTCAAGCATGAAGGGCATGCATGCAGGCACCGTCAAGCATGAAGGGCATGCATGCAGGCACCGTCAAGCATGAAGGGCATGCATGCAGGCACCGTCAAGCATGAAGGGCATGCATGCAGGCACCGTCAAGCATGAAGGGCATGCATGCAGGCGCCGTCAAGCATGAAGGGCATGCATGCAGGCGCCGTCAAGCATGAAGGGCATGCATGCAGGCGCCGTCAAGCATGAAGGGCATGCATGCAGGCACGGTCAAGCATGAAGGGCATGCATGCAGGCACCGTCAAGCATGAAGGGCATGCATGCAGGCACGGTCAAGCATGAAGGGCATGCATGCAGGCACCGTCAAGCATGAAGGGCATGCATGCAGGCACCGTCAAGCATGAAGGGCATGCATGCAGGCACCGTCAAGCATGAAGGGCATGCATGCAGGCACCGTCAAGCATGAAGGGCATGCATGCAGGCGCCGTCAAGCATGAAGGGCATGCATGCAGGCACCGTCAAGCATGAAGGGCATGCATGCAGGCGCCGTCAAGCATGAAGGGCATGCATGCAGGCACCGTCAAGCATGAAGGGCATGCAGGCAGGCACCGTCAAGCATGAAGGGCATGCATGCAGGCACCGTCAAGCATGAAGGGCATGCATGCAGGCACCGTCAAGCATGAAGGGCATGCATGCAGGCACCGTCAAGCATGAAGGGCATGCAGGCAGGCACCGTCAAGCATGAAGGGCATGCATGCAAGCACCGTCAAGCATGAAGGGCATGCATGCAGGCACCGTCAAGCATGAAGGGCATGCAGGCAGGCACCGTCAAGCATGAAGGGCATGCATGCAGGCACCGTCAAGCATGAAGGGCATGCATGCAGGCACCGTCAAGCATGAAGGGCATGCATGCAGGCACGGTCAAGCATGAAGGGCATGCATGCAGGCACCGTCAAGCATGAAGGGCATGCATGCAGGCACCGTCAAGCATGAAGGGCATGCAGGCAGGCACGGTCAAGCATGAAGGGCATGCATGCAGGCACCGTCAAGCATGAAGGGCATGCAGGCAGGCACCGTCAAGCATGAAGGGCATGCATGCAGGCACCGTCAAGCATGAAGGGCATGCAGGCAGGCACCGTCAAGCATGAAGGGCATGCAGGCAGGCACCGTCAAGCATGAAGGGCATGCAGGCAGGCACCGTCAAGCATGAAGGGCATGCATGCAGGCACCGTCAAGCATGAAGGGCATGCATGCAGGCACCGTCAAGCATGAAGGGCATGCATGCAGGCACCGTCAAGCATGAAGGGCATGCATGCAGGCACCGTCACGCATGAAGGGCATGCATGCAGGCACCGTCAAGCATGAAGGGCATGCATGCAGGCACCGTCAAGCATGAAGGGCATGCATGCAGGCACCGTCAAGCATGAAGGGCATGCATGCAGGCACCGTCAAGCATGAAGGGCATGCATGCAGGCGCCGTCAAGCATGAAGGGCATGCATGCAGGCGCCGTCAAGCATGAAGGGCATGCATGCAGGCACCGTCAAGCATGAAGGGCATGCATGCAGGCGCCGTCAAGCATGAAGGGCATGCATGCAGGCACCGTCAAGCATGAAGGGCATGCATGCAGGCACCGTCAAGCATGAAGGGCATGCATGCAGGCACCGTGAAGCATGAAGGGCATGCATGCAGGCACCGTCAAGCATGAAGGGCATGCATGCAGGCACGGTCAAGCATGAAGGGCATGCATGCAGGCGCCGTCAAGCATGAAGGGCATGCATGCAGGCACCGTCAAGCATGAAGGGCATGCATGCAGGCACCGTCAAGCATGAAGGGCATGCATGCAGGCACCGTCAAGCATGAAGGGCATGCATGCAGGCACCGTCAAGCATGAAGGGCATGCATGCAGGCACCGTGAAGCATGAAGGGCATGCATGCAGGCACCGTCAAGCATGAAGGGCATGCATGCAGGCACCGTCAAGCATGAAGGGCATGCATGCAGGCACCGTCAAGCATGAAGGGCATGCATGCAGGCACCGTCAAGCATGAAGGGCATGCATGCAGGCGCCGTCAAGCATGAAGGGCATGCATGCAGGCGCCGTCAAGCATGAAGGGCATGCATGCAGGCGCCGTCAAGCATGAAGGGCATGCATGCAGGCACCGTCAAGCATGAAGGGCATGCATGCAGGCACCGTCAAGCATGAAGGGCATGCATGCAGGCACCGTCAAGCATGAAGGGCATGCAGGCAGGCGCCGTCAAGCATGAAGGGCATGCATGCAGGCGCCGTCAAGCATGAAGGGCATGCATGCAGGCACGGTCAAGCATGAAGGGCATGCATGCAGGCACCGTCAAGCATGAAGGGCATGCATGCAGGCGCCGTCAAGCATGAAGGGCATGCATGCAGGCACCGTCAAGCATGAAGGGCATGCAGGCAGGCACCGTCAAGCATGAAGGGCATGCATGCAGGCACCGTCAAGCATGAAGGGCATGCATGCAGGCACCGTCAAGCATGAAGGGCATGCATGCAGGCACCGTCAAGCATGAAGGGCATGCAGGCAGGCACCGTCAAGCATGAAGGGCATGCATGCAAGCACCGTCAAGCATGAAGGGCATGCATGCAGGCACCGTCAAGCATGAAGGGCATGCAGGCAGGCACCGTCAAGCATGAAGGGCATGCATGCAGGCACCGTCAAGCATGAAGGGCATGCATGCAGGCACCGTCAAGCATGAAGGGCATGCATGCAGGCACGGTCAAGCATGAAGGGCATGCATGCAGGCACCGTCAAGCATGAAGGGCATGCATGCAGGCACCGTCAAGCATGAAGGGCATGCAGGCAGGCACGGTCAAGCATGAAGGGCATGCATGCAGGCACCGTCAAGCATGAAGGGCATGCAGGCAGGCACCGTCAAGCATGAAGGGCATGCATGCAGGCACCGTCAAGCATGAAGGGCATGCAGGCAGGCACCGTCAAGCATGAAGGGCATGCAGGCAGGCACCGTCAAGCATGAAGGGCATGCAGGCAGGCACCGTCAAGCATGAAGGGCATGCATGCAGGCACCGTCAAGCATGAAGGGCATGCATGCAGGCACCGTCAAGCATGAAGGGCATGCATGCAGGCACCGTCAAGCATGAAGGGCATGCATGCAGGCACCGTCACGCATGAAGGGCATGCATGCAGGCACCGTCAAGCATGAAGGGCATGCATGCAGGCACCGTCAAGCATGAAGGGCATGCATGCAGGCACCGTCAAGCATGAAGGGCATGCATGCAGGCACCGTCAAGCATGAAGGGCATGCATGCAGGCGCCGTCAAGCATGAAGGGCATGCATGCAGGCGCCGTCAAGCATGAAGGGCATGCATGCAGGCACCGTCAAGCATGAAGGGCATGCATGCAGGCGCCGTCAAGCATGAAGGGCATGCATGCAGGCACCGTCAAGCATGAAGGGCATGCATGCAGGCACCGTCAAGCATGAAGGGCATGCATGCAGGCACCGTGAAGCATGAAGGGCATGCATGCAGGCACCGTCAAGCATGAAGGGCATGCATGCAGGCACGGTCAAGCATGAAGGGCATGCATGCAGGCGCCGTCAAGCATGAAGGGCATGCATGCAGGCACCGTCAAGCATGAAGGGCATGCATGCAGGCACCGTCAAGCATGAAGGGCATGCATGCAGGCACCGTCAAGCATGAAGGGCATGCATGCAGGCACCGTCAAGCATGAAGGGCATGCATGCAGGCACCGTGAAGCATGAAGGGCATGCATGCAGGCACCGTCAAGCATGAAGGGCATGCATGCAGGCACCGTCAAGCATGAAGGGCATGCATGCAGGCGCCGTCAAGCATGAAGGGCATGCATGCAGGCGCCGTCAAGCATGAAGGGCATGCATGCAGGCACCGTCAAGCATGAAGGGCATGCATGCAGGCGCCGTCAAGCATGAAGGGCATGCATGCAGGCACCGTCAAGCATGAAGGGCATGCATGCAGGCACCGTCAAGCATGAAGGGCATGCATGCAGGCACCGTGAAGCATGAAGGGCATGCATGCAGGCGCCGTCAAGCATGAAGGGCATGCATGCAGGCACCGTCAAGCATGAAGGGCATGCAGGCAGGCACCGTCAAGCATGAAGGGCATGCATGCAGGCACCGTCAAGCATGAAGGGCATGCATGCAGGCACCGTCAAGCATGAAGGGCATGCATGCAGGCACCGTCAAGCATGAAGGGCATGCAGGCAGGCACCGTCAAGCATGAAGGGCATGCATGCAAGCACCGTCAAGCATGAAGGGCATGCATGCAGGCACCGTCAAGCATGAAGGGCATGCAGGCAGGCACCGTCAAGCATGAAGGGCATGCATGCAGGCACCGTCAAGCATGAAGGGCATGCATGCAGGCACCGTCAAGCATGAAGGGCATGCATGCAGGCACCGTCAAGCATGACGGTGCTTCCTCCCTCCTCCCCTTTCCTCAAGCATGCAGGCACCGTCATGTGGCGTGCCACCTGCCCTCCTCCCCTCCTTTCCTCCTCCCCGTCTCCCTTCCTCCCCCCCTCCCCTTTCCCCCAACCCCCTCCCCCACTCCCAGGTGGAGCGCATTCTATACCCGGACCTGACTGCGTATGCCATCTCGGGGGTGACTGCTGCTGCTGCTGCTGCTGCTGTTGCCAAGGCTTACATGAACTGTTTGCCTGCCTACCGTCCTTCCTGTGTTCCCCTCCTTCCTGCCCCCTCCTCTCTCCCCCCTCCCAGGTGGAGCGCATTCTATACCCGGACCTGACTGCGTATGCCATCGCGGGGGTGACTGCTGCTGCTGCTGCTGCTGCTGCTGCTGCTGCTGCTGCTGCTGCTGCTGCTGCTGCTGCTGCTGCTGCTGCTGCTGCTGCTGCTGCTGCTGCTGCTGCTGCTGCTGCTGCTGCTGCTGCTGCTGCTGCTGCTGCTGCTGCTGCTGCTGCTGCTGCTGCTGCTGCTGCTGCTGCTGCTGCTGCTGCTGCTGCTGCTGCTGCTGCTGCTGCTGCTGCTGCTGCTGCTGCTGCTGCTGCTGCTGCTGCTGCTGCTGCTGCTGCTGCTGCTGCTGCTGCTGCTGCTGCTGCTGCTGCTGCTGCTGCTGCTGCTGCTGCTGCTGCTGCTGCTGCTGCTGCTGCTGCTGCTGCTGCTGCTGCTGCTGCTGCTGCTGCTGCTGCTGCTGCTGCTGCTGCTGCTGCTGCTGCTGCTGCTGCTGCTGCTGCTGCTGCTGCTGCTGCTGCTGCTGCTGCTGCTGCTGCTGCTGCTGCTGCTGCTGCTGCTGCTGCTGCTGCTGCTGCTGCTGCTGCTGCTGCTGCTGCTGCTGCTGCTGCTGCTGCTGCTGCTGCTGCTGCTGCTGCTGCTGCTGCTGCTGCTGCTGCTGCTGCTGCTGCTGCTGCTGCTGCTGCTGCTGCTGCTGCTGCTGCTGCTGCTGCTGCTGCTGCTGCTGCTGCTGCTGCTGCTGCTGCTGCTGCTGCTGCTGCTGCTGCTGCTGCTGCTGCTGCTGCTGCTGCTGCTGCAGCCACTGCTTGTGTGCGTGCCCTCCATATTCCGATCGCATTTTCTTTCCCCCCCCCCCCCCCCAGGTGGACCGCATTTTGGACCCGGAGCTCACTGCATATGCCATCGTGGGGGTCACGCCTGCTGCTGTGCGTTGCATGTTGGCAGGGGCGCCGTATTTCCTTGTGCTTCTCCCCTGCTGCGCTCATGCCTTCCTCGCCCTCCCTCAGGTGGAGCGCATTTTGGACCCGGAGCTCACAGCGTATGCCATCGTGGGGGTCACGCCTGCTGCTGGCGACGGCGAGATTAAGAAGCGGTGAGGCTGAGTACGGGGAACGTGGAGGGTGGTACGGGGAACGTGGAGGGTGGTACGGGGAACGTGGAGGGTGGTACGGGGAACGTGGAGGGTGGTACGGGGAACGTGGAGGGTGGTACGGGGAACGTGGAGGGTGGTACGGGGAACGTGGAGGGTGGTACGGGGAACGTGGAGGGTGGTACGGGGAACGTGGAGGGTGGTACGGGGAACGTGGAGGGTGGTACGGGGAACGTGGAGGGTGGTACGGGGAACGTGGAGGGTGGTACGGGGAACGTGGAGGGTGGTACGGGGAACGTGGAGGGTGGTACGGGGAACGTGGAGGGTGGTACGGGGAACGTGGAGGGTGGTACGGGGAACGTGGAGGGTGGTACGGGGAACGTGGAGGGTGGTACGGGGAACGTGGAGGGTGGTACGGGGAACGTGGAGGGTGGTACGGGGAACGTGGAGGGTGGTACGGGGAACGTGGAGGGTGGTACGGGGAACGTGGAGGGTGGTACGGGGAACGTGGAGGGTGGTACGGGGAACGTGGAGGGTGGTACGGGGAACGTGGAGGGTGGTACGGGGAACGTGGACTACTCTCCTCCTTCCCGCCCCATCTGTGTCTGCAACGCGACTTCGTAACCCTCATCCCCATCATCCCCATCATCCCCCCTTGGAGATTTCCCTCTTCCTCCACCTCCCCACCACAGCTACTGGAAAGCATCGCTGCTGGTGCATCAAGACAAGTGCAGCCACCCGCGCGCGCAAGAGGCGTTTCTGCCTACTACCTCCTCCTTCCTGCCCCATCTGTGTCTCAGCGCGACTTCGTAACCCGCCTTCATCCCTTTACACAACTCCCCTTCTACTCCCTCCCCCATCCCATCCAGCTACTGGAAGGGGTCTCTGTGGGTGCATCCCGAGACAAGTGCAGCCACCCACGTGCTCAGAAGGTGCTGAGGAGTAACTTCCGACACCATCTCCATCCCACGCGTGTTTTGAGACGTCTCAAAACATCTCCATCCCACGCGTGTTTTGAGACGTCTCAAAACATCTCCATCCCACGCGTGTTTTGAGACGTCTCAAAACATCTCCATCCCACGCGTGTTTTGAGACGTCTCAAAACATCTCCATCCCACGTGTGTTTTGAGACGTCTCAAAACATCTCCATCCCACGCCGTGAATCCCTCCCAAGTGCCCCTCCATCCCTTGAAATACTTCCCTCTTTCCCGCTTCCCTCCCCCACCCGTCACAGCTACTGGAAAGCATCGCTGCTGGTGCATCCGGACAAGTGCGGCCACCCGCTTGCACAGGAGGCGTTTCTTCCTCCTACCTCCTCCTCCTCTCGGCACCATCTGTGTCCCACAACACAAATCCGTAACCCGCCTTTATCCCTGCTCCCCTCTCCCTCCCCCCACTCTTCCACAGCTACTGGAAAGCATCGCTGCTGGTGCATCCGGACAAGTGCAGCCACCCGCGCGCTCAGGAGGCGTTTCTGAGGCTCAACGACGCGGTGAACCGACTGAAAGATCCCTCCAAGGTGGGATGAATCTTGAACGCGTGAGTGGGGGTGATGTGTGCAGCTATGCATGTGATGTTCACACCATGTGGTGTTTTTGCGGCTCAATGACGCGGTGAACCGACTCAAGGACCCCAGTAAGGTGCGGTGCTCTTAAAGCCCCTCTCTTTCATAAGAGTATGCGTCTGCCTGTGACCGTCTATGGAAGCAAGCCGCCCATTCAGGCGTCCAACCCACAGTAAGGCATGCAAACCCTGGTATTCGCACATGCACATCGTGTCTTGCGGCCGATGCCTTCAGACCAGGCCTCATCTTCCGAAGGCTGGGGTTTTTTGTGGCCCACCTTAAAGCCCACCCCCACTCACGGAAACCGCTCATGCGATTTGGGACACTTGGGTACCGCGGCAACCCACTCAGGGGAAAGGTTTTTGAAAATTCTCAAAAGTAAACTCAACATAGCCGGTTGGAGACACTTGAGTACCGCGCCAACTCTCAGGGGAAAAAAACTAATAGGCGAGAGGCTGGGCGATTTCATAACTTGTATGACAGCCCCACACGTTTGCTAGGATGGGACATCTTGTGCGCTTTGAGCAAAGTTCAAACTCACAACGGGTGTTTTATATATTGGAGATGAGGGGTATCGATCCCCTTACCTATCGCATGCGAAGCGATCGCTCTACCATGTGAGCTACACCCCCGTTGTTGCTCACGGCATATGTGGGAACATTCTCCATGCTTATATCCCTCCGATCCTTTTTTTTCTCCGTGCGTACATGCATTTGCGTGCGCCAAGTATGTCGGCATATTGGATCCTGCTCTCATCACTTCTAATGGATGTGGGCGGGTGTATGTGCCTGTTCCTATGCGAATGCATGTGTGTGCATACGTGTGCATCTGTTTGTATGTGTGCGCACGTGTGTGCATCTGTCTGCATGTGTGCGCATACGTGTGCATCTGTTTGTATGTGTGCGCACGTGTGTGCATCTGTCTGCATGTGTGCATGCATGTTTATGGACATGTGTGTGTGTGCATGCATGTGTGCATGCATGTGTGCATGCATTTCTATGAACCTGTGTGCATGTGGGCATGCATTTCCATGGACCTGTGTGCATGCATGCAGAGAGCCGTGGTGGATGCGGAGATTGCAGCCAGAGAGGAGCGCAAAGCAATGGAGGTGAGGGAGATGGCATGGAGGTGAGAGGGCATGGAGGATTGGAGGGGTATTGTGGTGGAATATGGTGTGGTTTGGGTTATGAGGAGAAAGGACACTGGGGTGTGGCGAGGTGAGCGAGTACAGAGATCAGTGGTGGATGCGAAATTGCAGCCAGGGACGAACGCAAGGCCATGCAGGTGAGAGGGCGGGCATGGAGGTGAGAGGGCGGGCATGGAGGTGAGAGGGCGGGCATGGAGGTGAGAGGGCGGGAAGAATTGGAGGGGTATTCCGATGGGATGTGAGGGATGTGTGTAGTGGGATAAAGGCGGGATATGTGTGTTTGCTGAGATATGGGAGAAGGATAGAAATGGGGAATGGGAAATGGGGGAATGGGGAATGGGGAATGGGGAATGGGGGAATGGGGAATGGGGAACGGGGGAATGTGGATGGGGAAGAGTGGCGTTGGGTGACCATGCATGGCCGTCCATTCTCGTACTCGGGCTCTTATGTGCCGTGTGACTCCTTCTGCCTCTCTGACACTCTC